TTATACTACTGGGCACATACCTGTATTGTTTGAAGAAAGCAGAACTGGACCAAGGACTTGTCCAAGAAGTTGTCTGAGAAGTAGCCATCTGCTCTTAGTTTGTCAAAGAGGTCAATCCAAAACTGAACACATTGACTGCGCAAGATCAGCCACCATCGTTCAATCCGCTGATTTCCAGTGCTTGGACCAAAGGTTACACTGTCTCTTTCAGCTTGAGTCTCAGAAAAATGCAAAAACCTCTGCATCTCAGCAACATATCCATTTTCTGTTCCTAAGTCAAGTCTGACTCTGGCAGGACATCCACCTGCGCTGATTACAGCATCCATGTAGTAGCCTGCAATGATCTTTGGGTCATTGTTTGTTTTGTAAGCTTCAAGCCAGATCATCTTTCTTGAAAACCCATCAATGCATCCACTTATTGCAATTCCAAATGGCTTAAGCTTATCATAGCCATCAATGTGCCAGACATAGTTTGGACCACAGCTGTGATAAACACGCCTTTGAGTCTATTTCTCGACCTCAGATCAACACCTTCACCATCCAATAAACAGAGCAGAATTCGAACAGTTTCTCTGTCAGTTACAATTCCATGCAGCCAACATTTTTGGTGCATCCATCTATAACCATGAGACTGACCAGATGTTTCCAGTTGCTGTTCAATGAAAGCTGCCACATCAGCCACACTGGTTTTGTTCTTTCGACGCCAGAGCTGCTTCTTGCTTAAAATCCTCTCAAGGGTGCGCTTGCTTAGTACAATCCCGTGAGAATCAGAGAGTAAATGAAGTATTTCCTCTGTGGTAAAGCCACGCTTAAAGTAATCATCAATGTAGTCACAATCCATCTCCTTGGAAAATTCACTGAAATGTTGCCTTGAGAAATGCTTGAAGTTAAATGTTAAAAATCTCAATTATGACTTAGGTAAGTCGAAATTTTGACTTTTTATCTCATAATTATGACTTAGGTAAGTCAAAATTTCGACTTTTTATCTCATAATTTTGACTTACTAAGTTGAAATTTCAACTTTTTATCTCATAATTATGACTTTGTAGATCAGAAAAAATTTTTTTGTACTGGTGGAAACGGGCTTCCATAGGATGGAGAGGGAGTAGTGAGAAGGAACTCTTTTTTGTGCATTAGGTAGTTAACATTTCTATAGAAGTGCAATTCTAAAAATTATAAAATTATTGCCAAATGCCGCTCATAATGTGGTTTTGCAGTCAACAGTTGGGGCCATAAAAGCAACAGCAATGATAAACGCCTATAAACTGGCTTTCAGAAGTCAAGGCGATTAAAGTTTGCTAAGTTGTAGGCTTCAGACCAAGCAGGGTGCTGTGCCCCATCCATCTCTGAGGCAACCTGGTTGCCACTTGCCAATGTGTGATTGCCTCCACCAATAGTAGCATCACAATCAGGGCAGCGCCGACTCTCCATGGCTCCACCACACTCTGTTATAAGATAAACATGGCCATTAGGACATTTATGCCAGTGTCCAGGAGGCATTTTCATAGCCGAGACAATCATCTGTCTCTCCTCCTCATTGATCCCCAACCCTTTTAGTCCTGGAAATTTATCGTCTAGTTCTTTCATGCCTTCTTTCACTGTCTGTTCATCTTGCTCAGTGAATTGGCCAAATGTTTCCAGAACATCTCTTAGTTTTTGTACCTCAGATTGAATTTTGTCACCTTGTCCTCTCTTGTTTGCCATATGGCAACGGGCATTGAGATTAGCCAGCAGGGTAAGTCTCTGTAGCTCTCTCTGCAAATCATAGACTTGCTGGTCTGTGAATTTTAGGCGGTGGTCACTGAGCCAGTCCACAAACTCTGTAACATTCTTCCTAAGCCTAGTGAACAACTTCTGTTCTTCCTCAATCTCCAGTAACTTTGCAATTCTTATTAGGAAATCCATTTTGTTTTCCAGAATCCACAGGTCATTTGCTGTGAGAAAGCGCTTTTCCAGTCTGTGTTCGATCTGCATATATGTTTTTTGCAGAGGCATGTCACAGAAGGGGTTTTCCTCCATCCGCTTTTTAAGAGCTTTCTTGTGCTCTTCAATATCCACCTGATGCCCATTTATCTTCTCCTTTACCATCTCTATCTCGGCCAGACTGCGATTAATGTGAGCTCCATAGCGAAGATTCTTGCGGAGAGGAGTGCGACACCTGGGACATTCCTTTAGTTTTATGGCTACTTCTTCATTTACCTGCTGACTGTCATCCATCCCCATATATTGATCCATGGCTGTGTATTCAATGATATGTCCACAGTCCTCAAGCTCAATGAAATAAGCGTCAGGCTCATCCTCAGTGCCGAACAAAATTTCTGTGACTTCTTTGTGATTACAGACGCGACATTTGCTTGGACATTTGTCTCCACACAGACCTATACATGGGTGACCACAATCCAGGGTCTTGGCACAGGGTTGGGTGCATGGTGGACGATCACATGGCTCATGGCAAAGCTTAGTGCATCTTTGATGAGGGCACTGCCATGCGCAAGGCTCAATGCATGGAGCACAGGGCTGTCCACATGGTTTCATACAATTACTGTGGACACAGCAATTCTCACATGGTCTATTACAGGGGGGGCAATCACGAGTGCAAGGTTCCATGCACTTGTGAGAGCAAATAAGGAGACGCTCACACTGGTGTAAACATGGGAAATGAAAGCGTCCCTGATAACATTTGCCACAGCTGCCACGACAGGCATGGCCACATTTTAGCTGGTGCTCACATGGGGTCTTGCATTCAGGCCCCACTGTCTGTGTTTTATAAAAGCAGGCACCAGCCTGGCTGTGGCCACACTTTAGGTTTAAGGTGACCTTCACTTTGCATTGAGTGGTGCACGGTTCGCCACAGAGTGAATCACATAGATGTCCACACCTTAGCATTTTCTGGCAAGGCTCCTTGCATACAAATGTGCTTGGGTCCTGGTGGCAAGGAACCATCTGTATGTGTTCACACTGGGGTATGATCTTCTCAATCTTCACTGAACATTTCTCTGGGCATTTTTTATGACACACAAATGTGCACCTGTGTCCCAGATCACATAAAATCTTCTCACACTTCTTGGTACACTTGTACTTCTTGTGTTCAGGGTCGTAGGGGTGGCAGGCTCTAGCACAAACATGACCACAATCCAAACGGAACTGGCAAGACTGATTGCAGCCCCCCTCAGGAGCTTGTTTGAAGTCTTCAGCACAAGATGCTTTTATCTCTTGTTTTGGATGATTCTGACAACACAAAGTTAGAGCCTTCCCAATCTGCGCCGCCTCCCTCAAAGTGTGGAAAATGTTGCTCCACAGTTTGACTTGGCCCAACATTGTACTGTTGCCAATACAGTAGAGCCCTTTCTTGGCACGAGACAAGGCTACACAGACTCGATTTGGTATGTTCAAAAAGCCAACTTTATCCTGCTTGTTGCTGCGGACCAGGGACAACAAGACAATATCGTTCTCTTCTCCCTGATACTTGTCCACTACATGTACTTTGACCCCTGAGAAGTGACTTGCAGGCATGAGATTGCGCAGACAGTGGAGCTGGCCGGTATAGGTTGTGAGGATGGTAATTTGCTCTGGTTTGTAATCCTGTAAGAGAAGATAGCGGCAAAGCTCAACTACAAACATCGCCTCATGTTGGTTCCGATGGCTTTTCCCATCTTTGATCTCTTGTTCTTGGTAGCTGTGCTCCACAAAGAACAAGTTGGTTATTTTGTTTTTAGCATTCTTATTTTACGTTGTCTGACTTTGAATCAAAATATATTTAAAAGTCTAGTATAGAGATTATGCAAAGACGTGTTTTTATCAATGCAGAAAAGTAAACAGATATTCACTAGTAAGAAAAACAAGTAGGAGACAGCTGGAGAACATTTATTATATACCTTGATATTGTCATAGTCCAGCACAGAGGGATGGTTTTCTAGTTCTGAGTAGATGTGTGGGGTCAGAAGACGGGCAATTTCTGGTCTCATACGATGCTGGAAAACAAATATCAACACAAAAACAGATAAACACAGAAAATCATATAAATATAACAGAGGCATACATGGACCTACAAACATACAAACTTAGCAGGTAAGTGTCATGCTTTTACCTTATCTATAATCACATCATCTAAAGACGTCTACATTTTATTGACTGATAGATCCTGCAACAAATCAACAGATACAGAAACACAAACCTGGTAGTTAAGCCTGACAAAAGGATGTCCCATCTTCACCAGCCTCTCAAACATGGACATCTCCAGGTTGAAGTTCTTAGCAAGGTCATATACTGTGGCACTGGGGCGCAGCTAAAGGAGAAATCACATGTTAATCATATGCCCTAAACACTTTGCTATGGGTGCAACCTTATTTAAATGGCAAATTTCAAAAACAAAGGCAATTCCAAGTGCTTTCCATGGGCAAAGGACCATATTAATATTAAAAACAATAAGCATTAAAAGACAGAATAAAATCAATTAGGACAAAATAAAGGTAAAATGTGATAAAAGAAACAGAGAAAAAAAGAAAAGAAGGAGGACAACTACAGTGGAGTAATAAAGTATAAATTCCCCAAATGCGACACAGAAAGCAGAAGAACAGAAGAGAACCAAGAGTTTTCAGTTCAGATTCGAAAGTGTCTGGAGTTGTGGCACATTTAAGATCATCCAGAAATCAGTTCCATTTGTGCGGCATACTAGCTAAAAGCAGCTTCACTCTGTTAGGTTCTGAACCAGGGTTCTACAAACGGGCTACTTCATAAAGCTCTAAGAGCCCTGCAGGGTTTGTAATCTTCAAGGAGATCAGAAATGTACAGTATTTTGGCCCAGTATCACTGAGTGATTTATAAACTAGCAGCAGCACTTTAAAATGTATTTTGTTCTCCTGGTTCTTGTTAAAACTATGGCAGCAGTATTGAGAAATAGCTGAAAGTGTGACTAGATAGCGATACAGAATGTATGCAAATACACCATAACTTCCTATTGCTGTCCTGTTACGTTTTTCACAGTTTGCATGTATGTTTGCATGTGTGTCTGTGTGCAAACCTAATTTAGCTGGAGGGCTGAGTGTGATTTTACATGTATGTGGGAGTCGTGCGGGGGAGGCAAGACAAATTCTAGTATAAATGTGAGGCATTGTGTCGTATTCGATTCAACACCAAACCTGTGATTAATGAACAGCACAACAATGCCAAAGCTTATTTTACTCAGTAAGTGTGATCCATCCACCTCCATTGTATGTCCAGATTCAACATTGGGTTTCGCAAAAACAAAGCTTGGAACACTTCATCATGGATTCAACAGACTACTATCTAATGACTTTAAACCCATAAAACAAACAGACTAACTCATATGTATGCAATCAGAATACCATATCATTTTTTTTTAAAACCACTGTAACTGTCCAGTAATGTAAATAACCGAATCAGAGATACTTTAAATTTAATTAATTTAATATGCACTTGTAGTCAACATGTGTATGGTATGTTAAATTGTTCACCCACTTCTATTAAAAAAATGGAAGGGAGCTTCAGGCACAGTGGTAAATTGCTTTTATATTAAACTGATATTCCTGATATATAAAAAATGGTCATTGATTTCCAAGCCTGGGTTACAATAAAAGTAATCTTCTTGTCAAGCTTTATTTTAAATTCCTTTCTTATACTTGCTATACTTTCAGTAGAGTTGTAAGGAAATCAGGTTTGTTTGTGAAATTAAATACATGCATATGTTCATGCATAAACTTAGCACAATGAGTGACCTTTAGGAAAAGAACAGACAGAACCTACACACAAAGAAGAGACCAGGACAGAATACTGAGTTGTGAGATAGAAGTGTGTATAGTTGTGAACACATAGTGCAGATTTCTAGACAGGCTGCCTGGCCATATGTCTCTGGCAGGCCCTGACAAGTTGTTGTAATAGTCTACTGATGTCCAGCATATCACTCTTTTCTCCTCTATCTCTTGTAATGGCTTGCTTTTTTTGCTGAGCATCCATTTCCCTTAAGGCAAAATCCCTCATGACAGATTGTCCTTTATATTTTTATCTAGACATGTAAATGGGGTCATTTCAGTTGGTGGGTGTTGGCTCATTAAAATATAACAATGCACAAATAGGGATACGGGTTTTAATGAGACGCAGATCCACCAAGGATTTAGGAAACACTGCCCTGTTTGTCTGTATGCGCTCTTACCTGCTGGTGGTCTCCAATAAGGATGAGGTGTTGGCATGCCTGGCTCAGCGTGGTGATGGTGTGGGCCTCGAGAACCTCTGCAGCCTCTTCTACAATCACCACACGTGGACGCACTTCCTGTAGCACTGTACGAAATTTGGCTGCCCCTGTTGTCGTCATGCCAATAACCTGATGGATAGGATGGGAACAGTGGAAACAGTCAGCCAGGCTCTGTCCAAACGTAACAAAGTCTGCCTACCAGCAGCTCTGAAGCTTATTAACACATCAGCTGTTGTTTGCTTGGTAAATTTAAGTGTAAACACGACAGGTTGTGGTTTTTCCAAGGGGACTATTTCTTGCCCGAGCACAGTGACTTTCTGTTGTCTCCTTTGATTATCTGGCATCTTCACCTCAGTCTTTTCACTCACAGTGATCCCCAAATGCTACTGTGAAAAAGTTTTCACTACTTTCTACCTAAGAGATAGTACCTAAGAAAGCTCTAGAGAGAAGAAAGGTCTCTTAGTGACTAGGGCATGTATTTGGATCAGCATACTGTAATACCACACACAAAGCTCATTCACCTCCACTGGGGTAGAAGCAGAAACCTCAAAGATGCATTTCTCAGTAGCTGAGCAGAAACAACCCAAAGGGTCTGTATGATTGGGTACCACTATATTAAAGTGAGAAAATGTGTTTTGTATAATTTGGATGAACCAACCCTGTAAACTGCCATATCTGACCCCCACAGTCTCTTCAAAAACAAAACTGATGTTAACGTTAGACTGTTAATTAAGCACAACTTCTTCTTGGTATTGCAAAAAAGATTTGACTAAATAAAGGACCATGAAAAACTTTGATCTACAGTACTATTTACTACAAAAGACATACTGTACCGTGGCTTTCTTGAGGATGCAAAGGTCCTGTTGTTGTTTTACATCAACCAGTCTGTCCGCTATATTCTGATAGTCCTGTTCAGACTCTATGACTTTGGTGCGAAGCTCTACAGTGTAACGTGCCACCCACAACCTGCAGACATAAGTAAAGCATAATAATAATAACTCTGTGACTACTGAAACTATTATATAAATGCCTGAAACCCATCATTATTAGCTCTACATCTAGAAGTATAATCAAAGGTCAAAAATACAATGCCTGTATGTGATATTGCTGCAAGTATAGTTAAACAATTTTGGCCATACCATGTGTGTGTCTTGGAAGAAAACTGCTGTGTGTTAATTTATGTAAATATGAGTCCTTATTGGCCTATTTCAACAGCAATAGAAATAATATCTTGGCTCTCTGAGATGAGAAGGTCCTCTGGGATACATTTTTGTGGTGATTGGGCTACTTAATTATACACTCTGAGAATAGATTATTTCTACCAGTTCGAGGTTGGGATGAGATGAGCAAAAATGCAAAAAGAAGAAAAATGTAGGAGCGAAGAAGGACAGAAATGTAAGAAAGGTACTAGTGAAGGTGATAGAAAGGAAGAGTTTCAGAGAGAAACACATACTCTAGTTAGTGAACAAAGAAAAGAAAAGTAAAACACAGACACAGATGTACCGATAGAGTCTCCATCTGTCTGGCAGCCCGAGCATCCAAACATCGCAGACATTATCTTCCTCCTCCTTTGTCATGGCTGAGCTCTTCCCTAGCTCATTTCTGATTTTGTTCTTCATCTTTTTCCTCTGCTTCGGTTGCATCTGTATAGATTAGGAAAGAATACAGTTTGAACTTCAGACCCTCAGTTCATTATATGGTTAATTTGTTTTCAATTCTAGCTAAAGTGGCTTTTGTTTTTCTTTAATTGAAAAAGGATGGTGCAATCTCTTAATCAGCTTTGTTAAAAAATAACATTATAGGTTAAACAAGTTGTAAGCTGTACTTGAAGATGAGGGGACACAGAAATGTGGAACCTTTAAGTGTTTGGAACATCAGTGGCAGAAAAGTAGGTTATGGTACTGGAACTGTTTCATACGTTTATACAGACCTTTTTACAGGAGTCTCCACTGGAATAAAATGTTAACTGCTGCATTAACTCCCTAAATTTCAAGCCTAGGAACTGATGAGTATTTGATAATCCAAAAAAAAAAAGTTTTTGTTGGTAAAGTATTCCTTTAAGTAAGTAATTAAAAGTTCCCTTTTGCAGGTGCTGCACTATTGTGTTAAGGGTACCCTATGTTTTATTTATTTATTTATTTTTTTAAATGGATGGGGACCTGTACAAGCATGCATGTTTGCAAGGAGGTGACATGGTGCACAGTCCTGCCAATGGCTTTGGGCTATTCCACTGATCGACAAGTTGGTGGCAGTAATGTGCTACGAAATGAAGCAACGTGCCAACAAAGCAGGGAAGCCTGCCAACAAGCAAACATGGATTTAAATAATACATGGTGCAAACTCTTCCAAAAATTAGCTTTCAAAATTATAAACATGAAAACACATGCATTGAACACATTTGTTAATCCTCAGTAATGCATAACTTTGTTTACTGTAGTTACAAAAAGACTCGACATGGTAGCTTACAGCAGAGCACTTACGTTCCCAGTAAGCATGTGCAAACATCTCCAGTAATCCATCTACACCAATCTGCTATAGTTTTAAATAACTGCCTTCTCATCCAGTTGGTCTGATTTAACAAAAATCACTCATGAAATGTTAAACTTATCACAGTCTCTACATGAAAAATCTCCTCTTAATTTTACCTGAAAACCGTCCTCGCTCTGCTCAACCTGTTTTTGAGCATTATCCAGGTTCATAGCCAGCATCAGTTCTTCCATTGCGTGGACAGCCTCTTCCATGTCTCCCTTCTTTCCGCCATCTCTGCCATCTCTGCGACCAGTGTCGCCTTCAATAATCCGCTCTGCCTGGATTAGATCTGCCTCCTCCTCAATTTCAATGAGATCCTCTTCGTCCACCTCCATCATGTCCTCTGGTGCTACATCTAAGACATTGACATAAGAATCAGTATGTAAATGATTTCATTCACCCTGTACAATAAATATATTACATTTTAGTTTTTGCTGATATCTTATAATACTGCATGGTGCAAAACAAAACACAAAGGAGTAAAAAGGTCCTCACATAAGTGAGGGGACGGACAGTGTCAGTCTATGTTCATTCAACATAATATTTCATGGCTTGCATAATTTTCAGTCACTAAAATGGTCTAGCTAAGCTGAGTGTTGGATTGATTACAAATGCTTATCTACAAAATCCTGCTGCAGAAACAGTTTAGACTTAGAATTTGCTGGTTATTTAGCTGTTTTGAAGCTCTTACATCTTAATTTAATCTGGTTTGGAGAGCTGAGCTGCAAGGGCTGTGTGGCTGGTGTTCATGCAAATTATTTTGTACTGCGAGTGAAAATATGACATTTTCACTTTAAAAGCAACTCAGTTATAAATGGATGCAAAAGATCAAATAAAATAAATAAATAACAATACAGTAAACAACTCTTAACCTGCGTGCATTCCAGAAAACGGGCCACAGAAAGCAGAGTTAACTGTGAAACACCAGTTAATTTATGACTTTAAAAGGCGGTGCTGAGGTTTCAAGCACTAATCACATCAATTTACTGTGAAGATGGATAATTACAGAAAGAGCATTGCTACTTCTCTAAAACTATATTTTCCATTTCAATACATATTTTATTACAAATTCATATTAAAATGAGAGGTTATTGTTGAAATGCAATTAAAATCTAATAACAGTTCCGGTCTTATGTGTCTCCTGGTTGACAAGGCATGTGACACCATTACTTCTTTAACACTGTAATGATTTTACCTGGTCAGTCAATTACCATCCCAACAAGGTGAAGGTGAAACAGCTTTACACAGACAACACTAGATGTTCTGTTACCACTGCTGTGGTATGAAAATGTGGAAAGTTATGATTTGTCAGGATTTGTCAAGTAGTGCTAAGCTGATTTTTACTTATTTAGAAAATGTATATGAGGGAATCTTGTGCTGTAATAAAAAAGTCCATTCAGATTAATGAAAATATAAATTCCAGGGTCTGTTTACACACAATAAGTGACAAGAAATCAGTTACTACATCCTTTTACATTGTTTCAGTGTGACCAGCTTACAATAAAAGCTTTACCTCCATTTATGTTTGCATTCTCTGTCCCCCTCTGCTGGAAGACGGTGCAACCCAAACCCAACCACTCCATTATCAGACTGGGAGGCTTCTGACTGCAGCTAAAATCATCCTCCATCTACAGATCATTTGATAAATATGAGCTCATGCGTTTCGTCTCTTGTTCTGTTTGAATTTATACATGTATACAAAATACTTTTCCCCAATCTGACTCACAGGTGGCACAGGTGGGCAGTGCAGACTGTTCCAGTGTCTGTCAGAAATGAAGCGCTCTAAAAAGCTTTCACGAAGGACACCTTTCAGAGAACACGCTAGCATCACACTCTGCCTGTTGATTGTCCTCTCCTCCTGACACAGCAGCTTGTAAATCTATTAAACAAATTATAAATGCATTGATTAGATGGAGAAATCACACAAGAATGTGTTATATACTGAAACTGAGTAAAGAGAAAAGCATATGAACAGGCATATAAAATATATAAAAAGATGACATACGACATGTGCAAAACACCAATGTGATACATTTTTAATACAGTATATAATATACTATATTATTAGGAATTATTTGAACTTATTCTTTTCATATATATGCAACAAAATGCATTGCATAAGAGAAATAAACAAGTGTGAAGCAACTTGAAACATCAATTTAAGTTATGAGATTCACACTGCAGGTCAAGCAGCATGAGCTCACCTCATTATATGCAGTACGCAGGTGAGATGGCGGTCTGTATCTTAAGTCGCGTGAGTGGGCCAGCTCCCTCAGATTGAAACGCTTCAGGATCTCACTGTTGCTACGGCCGCCTACTCTCACTATGCCATCTCGCAGAAAAGTATGGATTCCTTAGATGCAGAGGCAAAACAAATGCACATCATATAACCCCTAAAATAGAAATCTTGTTTGTCTTACCTTACTCATTCTAGAGCACAAACCAGGAGTTTGCAAAGAAAAGTTCAGATTTGAAGTAGCTATATGTGGACCATTGGTGAACATTTCATCATATAAAGAAAGATACTTGCCAAGAATTATTGTTTGTGTTAGTAATAGATGCACTCCTGTTGACAAGAGACCTAACTGTTTTAAAATCATTTCTGCCAAACCCTCAACCAACATACAGTATAAACTACATCTGGTGTTGTATTAACTGGCAGCACTGCTTACCCTCAAGAAACTGATCCAGGGCATGGTTAGTGTAACACACTACCAGCATCGGAGCCATGCCATTTTCATCTCTCCAAAGATTCTGATTGGTCAACAGAGCCTGAGCAATCTTAAGGCCGACATAGGTTTTTCCTGAGAAAATGTAAGAAGTGCAATATCTTGATTTCAAGTATAAGAGGAAATTTTAACCTTTCGTTTCTTGTTTGCTTGTTTTGAAAAAAATCTTGCACTTTTCATTCACAAATGAATTAAGTCATCCTTCCAACAGTGGCTTTTCCATGTCTTACCAGTACCAGGAGGTCCCTGGATGATGGCCAGCTCCTTTGTGATAGCCAGCTGGAAGGCCTTCATCTGAGACTCATCAAGTCCCAGCTTCTCCATGCTCGGCCAGGTCCCTGCCTCCATGCTATGAAAGGGCAGTATGCTGTCCTTACAGTCAGGATTAGCAACGGAGGACAGGTCATATATGTCTTTTCTTTGCAGATAGGCTGGGGGTAGCACATCTGTGCTGCACTCCACAATATACCTGGAAGTATGACAAATAGAATAAAATATTTAGCATCTGTGTAAAATGAGGATGTAGACACATTACTAATAAGGGATTTCAGGGGCCAGATTAAAGCTTACAATAAAATCCTTTATGATAAAGGTTAGTTATCTTCAAGGACACTGGGAGTGTGGACGAAAACAGAGCTTTTCAACTCATCCATGTGTGAAAGCCTTTAGGGAAATACCCCACTGATATAAATAACTCGGGCCAACTAAGAGTGGGATTGCTGAACTTGCTTTGTGCAGTTTCTCCACCCGCTGGCCTTTGAAAATGTGAACTTGTTTTGAAAACACTGAGAGGTTATATGACCTTGACAGTAAAGTCTGAAACTCCTCCACAGCACACAAACACACACCTCTGAAAGGGCAGGCTGTCCTCCTCCTGCTTCTGGAGGCCCTCCAGGACATAACGATAGGCCTCAAAGTAGGCCGTGGTCTCTACCATGAGAAACACTTGATCTTTCTGTGGGAAAAAGTTTTCAGACTTGTTTAGAGGTGTTCTGTCACTGCGCATGTATTGCATGATTTAACTGCGACCTGTCAAGTGATTGCAGAAGTTTTAGAATAACTATGTTACAGTGCATCAAATGGTGAAAGTTATGTTTCATGAACTGCCAACTTATTGTGCATTACTTCGACAGTTTTTGTAGATCAAGCAGCTGAAATCAAATGCTCAGCAACTTCATGCATTCCGTCCTTATAAACACAAAAATTACTGCCCTACCTCAATTCTGGCCAGCTTCAATCTGCTTTCTTCAGTGAAGGTAATCTGGACCTGCCCGTGCTCCAGGTTCTTGGGGTCCCGATCTGATACTGTGGCAAACAAGAAGCTCTCAAAATTATCACAGGATAGGCAGACCAGGGAACCATAGAGCAGCCTCTTGGAATTTTGCCAGCGCACAAACTGAAGGAAAGATGACAGAAGCATATTGATATACATGTTAACTGAAGTCTTGACATTTTCCATTTAGATAACAAAATGACAGTTTATGTACTAATGTGTCTGATTGTATGATAAAATGTAATTTGAGAATTAGACTGAGACAAACATAGATTGTAAATCCATCCGCAGGCTAACCTTAAGTGGCTCAATGTCAAACTGGACTACGTAGGCAACACCGGTCTGCGTGCACTTGGGCACAACCAGCCGTGCGTCAAAATATATGTGAATATCATCAAAGCGCTTTGTCCTCAGTGGCTTATCACTCCTTCCCTGGGCCATTTGGTTCTGGAGCAATTGCTGGATGCCCTCACGGAGTGGTCGCACAAAGTCTTCTCTCAGCAATCGGAAGTGAGTGTCAAGGTAGAGGTGGGTGTTTGTGTAGCGCTGAGAGGTGAGGTTGGGCCTAAGAAAGGGCCTGTGGTCCTGCTGGAACTCCTCAGGTGTTGGGTAGATCGGTAAGTCCCTGAAATCTTGATGTTCTTCACCTGTGTCAGAAATTGTGAGAGTTTCTGTTGCTCACATATCCGTAAAATATTTTGCCATTAAAAAATCGGATCAAATTACTTCCTGGGAAATTCTGTGGTGTTGGCTTGAGGACAGGGTATCAAAACATTTAAAAACCATTTACCTGGGTTGTTATCTTCATTGGGTAGGAGGGCGTAGGTGTCTCTGTCTGAGCGCAGGGTACCGTCTCTGGATCTCTCCTGGAGGTGCTGGATGAGGCCCTGCAGATTTTCAACGGTCTCCTCCATCTGAGGCTGGATTTCCACTCCCGATGTCCTCAGGTTGTTGATGGAGGCTTGGAGCAGTGTCAGTAGCAAACTCACTGCCTGGACTGAGCTAGCAGGAAAAATGTTGAGCACCTAATAAACATATATTGAGGATATAGTTAAATTACATGTTCTAAAGGGAGTTCAATTACTCATTTACCAATTTAAGCACCGAAGCAATCATATAAGTATATATATTTTGTTTTAGAAACATAGATACAACATTTGTTAAGAACCTGAAAACTTAGTTTCTCTATCAGCTTCTTACTAAAAGGAATGGAGTTTCAGAGGAGCACAACGTTTTCTGTAAAAGGTTTAACAATACTGGCAATTTGATTTGATTTGATTTATTCTTTCAAGCATGTAAAAACAGTTGATATGACAACACACATAATCCAATATCAATTTGCTTATACCTAGTACATGCTTGAATGGAGTAGGAAGAAGTCAGACTTATCCAGTCCTACCCCATGACATCATCTTACCATCATTGGTTTGCAAGCAGTAAATAATTCACTTCTACCTACACGTATTATACTAAAAAAAGATTAGTACAGTGTTAACATTCTTACATCACACAAGTAATATACTAAAGAATTATTACAAAGTGTTAACATTCTTACATCACACAAGTAATATACTAAAGAATTATTACAAAGTGTTAACATTCTTACATCACACAAGTAATATACTAAAGAATTATTACAAAGTGTTAACATTCTTACACCACACCCACAATGTTCCATCTAATTAATCATTAAGCCTCTCTGAACGAGCTGAAGTTGTCTAACAGTCTTTTGGGGAAGGCTAGACAAAAGACCATTACAACAGTCCAGCCTGTTGGAGACGATAGCATCAGTGAGTTTCTCAGGACATGAGACCTCAGAGTTGTACTATTTGTTCGAGATGATGAAAAGCTGATTTAGTTGTGGCCTTGATGTGACTGGTGAAGTTCAGGTCTGAGTCAATTATGACACCAAGATTTGTAACTTGAGTTTTTGTCTTCATAGTTCTACAATCAAGCTGATCAATAACTTCGGTCCTTTCGTTCTTGCTACCAAAAGCAATAACTTCAGTCTTGTCTGTAACTGAAGGAAATTTGATTGCATCCAGGTATTTACAGTGCCTTGCGAAAGTATTCGGCCCCCTTGAACTTTGCGACCTTTTGCCACATTTCAGGCTTCAAACATAAAGATATAAAACTGTAATTTTTTGTGAAGAATCAACAACAAGTGGGACACAATCATGAAGTGGAACGAAATTTATTGGATATTTCAAACTTTTTTAACAAATAAAAAACTGAATAATTGGGCGTGCAAAATTATTCAGCCCCTTTACTTTCAGTGCAGCAAACTCTCTCCAGAAGTTCAGTGAGGATCTCTGAATGATCCAATGTTGACCTAAATGACTAATGATGATAAATAGAATCCACCTGTGTGTAATCAAGTCTTCGTATAAATGCACCTGCACTGTGATAGTCTCAGAGGTCCGTTTAAAGTGCAGAGAGCATCATGAAGAACAAGGAACACACCAGGCAGGTCCGAGATACTGTTGTGGAGAAGTTTAAAGCCGGATTTGGATATAAAAAGATTTCCCAAGCTTTAAACATCTCAAGGAGCACTGTGCAAGTGATAATATTGAAATGGAAGGAGTATCAGACCACTGCAAATCTACCAAGACCTGGCCGTCCCTCTAAACTTTCAGCTCATACAAGGAGAAGACTGATCAGAGATGCAGCCAAGAGGCCCATGATCACTCTGGATGAACTGCAGAGATCTACAGCTGAGGTGGGAGACTCTGTCCATAGGACAACAATCAGTCGTATACTGCACAAATCTGGCCTTTATGGAAGAGTGGCAAGAAGAAAGCCATTTCTTAAAGATATCCATAAAAAGTGTTGTTTAAAGTTTGCCACAAGCCACCTGGGAGACACACCAAACATGTGGAAGAAGGTGCTCTGGTCAGATGAAACCAAAATCGAACTTTTTGGCAACAATGCAAAACGTTATGTTTGGCGTAAAAGCAACACAGCTCATCACCCTGAACACACCATCCCCTCTGTCAAACATGGTGGTGGCAGCATCCTGGTTTGGGCCTGCTTTTCTTCAGCAGGGACAGGGAAGATGGTTAAAATTGATGGGAAGATGGCTGGAGCCAAATACAGGACCATTCTGGAAGGAAACCTGATGGAGTCTGCAAACGACCTGAGACTGGGACGGAGATTTGTCTTCCACCAAGACACTGATCCAAAACATAAAGCAAAATCTACAATGGAATGGTTCAAAACTAAACATATCCAGGTGTTAGAATGGCCAAGTCAAAGTCCAGACCTGAATCCACTCGAGAATCTGTGGAAAGAACTGAAAACTGCTGTTCACAAATGCTCTCCATCCAACCTCACTGAGCTCGAGCTGTTTTGCAAGGAGGAATGGGCAAAATTTAAGTCTCTTGATGTGCAAAACTGATAGAGACATACCCCAAGTGACTTACAGCTGTAATCGCAGCAAAAGGTGGTGCTACAAAGTATTAACTTAAGGGGGCTGAATAATTTTGCACGCCCAATTTTTCAGTTTTTTATTTGTTAAAAAAGTTTGAAATATCCAATAAATTTCGTTCCACTTCATGATTGTGTCCCACTTGTTGTTGATTCTTCACAAAAAATTACAGTTTTATATTTTTATGTTTGAAGCCTGAAATGTGGCAAAAGGTCGCAAAGTTCAAGGGGGCCGAATACTTTCGCAAGGCACTGTATTTCCCCAGTTTTCAACGCCATACTCTAAGTATGGTAGAATCAATGAGGAATACAAAATGCGTAGTGCTTTCCTGTCCAAAATATATTTCACCCTTGCCAATATCAATATATTTTTTGCTATTTTGTTCTGAACATATCTGATATGCGAATTTCATGGGCAAAATGCACGTACCTGTGTTTATGTCTGTGCTTTTATCACAGGATTGAAGTGGATGGGCTTAGCATGAAAAAGATTATGTAATCTAGTCATTTTTGAGCATTAAACTTTTAATTTTGACTTTTATTGTTGCTTGTTCAGTTGTGGATATTTAATGAAACCAAGTTTCCAGAGGCTTTTAAGTAACTGTAGATTTAAATTGCTTTTGAAGATACATTTTGAAAATTATTTAATGTACTACAATTACAGAAAATATTTTACTGCAAAGAACTATTCACTTAAAAAACTCTGTAGGTGTCTGTTTGTGCCCTTTAGCAAAGACCACTCATGAGCTGACTCACTTATTTCAGTACAGATATGATGTTACTGTGCATTTATCATCTATTCCTTCATGTATCCTTAAGTGATTGGCTCCTTTATTAATTCTGTATTTACCTGTGAGAGAATAGCCAGGATGTTTTCTAGTTGCCGTGGGTACTGTGCCCTGCGGACAGGGTTGAACTCTGACACCATACCAACTAGATAGTGGGGCAGGACGGTCCGGAAAAACCCTGAATCCTTTATGATGCCAGCCAGGTGCTGCAGAGTGGCTCTGCTGGTGTATGATTTGAAGGCTTTACTCATCACTAGACAGAGGAGTTCAACAAGGTCCTGCCTCATTTTTGTGTCACTCAGGACACCTTGTAGGGCTTGGTTAGAGGACAGGGTGATGGCCACTACAGATGGCTCTTTCCCAGAGAGTTCTTCCAGTGTTTTATACCCCAGGCCACAGCCCTGTGGTGTCCTGACTCTGCCTGTAGAATATAATCGCCATTCATCATGCTCTTGTCTGTCGCCCTCATGGTCTTTTCTCTCACCCCCTCTACTTCCTCGTCTGTCCACACTATGACCTCCTCTCCTTACACCCATTTCTGCAAACTCCCTTCCTGCTCTTTTTCTTTCCGGTGTGTCTGGCTCTCCATTTCTTCCTAATCTACCCATTTGTCTGTCTACACTATGCCATCCATTTCCACCTCTCCTTCCCCCTCCCCCACTCTGTCCGCCTCCTCTTCCCACAACTCTTTCGTCCCCTCTCCTTCCATCTGCTGCTCCTCCTCCTCCTCCTCTGCCTCTTCCTCTCCCTCGCAGCCCTTCACCTCCACCTCTGCCTCTTCCTCTCCCTCGCAGCCCTTCACCTCCACCTCTGTCTTTCTCTTTACCTGCACCTCTTTCTTCTCCTCTCCCTAATTCTGCTCTTCCTCTGCCCCTCCAATTAAGCCCTTCAGCTCCTCCTCCTCCTCCTCCATCTGTCTCCTCTGTTCTTCTTCTGCCCTCTCGTCCTCTTGCTTGGTCTTTCTGTGCACTTCTTTGTCTTCTTCCCCTACCTCCATGGGCATTTGCATTTTGGCCAGTGTCACAATCTGGGGAAAAACATTCATACACTGAGACCTTGAAAAGTAATATAGTGGTTGCAAGATTTGTGCTCACTTGATTGCTGTCTCATATTATGTAATTACTGTACCATTACTCGGTCCTCTTCTCCCCGTTGTTAAAGTCAGTCTCTCCATAGTCTTGCATGTGGTGGCTGTTGAAATTTAGATTAGTAACATCATTTCTGACTGGCAAGAAATTGGAGTGAAAGTGAAAATAACCCAATTTAGCACAATTACAGAAGAATCTGATAATGTCTCATTTATGTATAAGCACATAAAAACAGCCAGAATAATATAGCAGTGAGTGATGTCTTACTACTGATAAGTGGCCATTATGCTCTCTGTTCTATTCATGCATTTCCCCTCACTGTTATCAGTATGGTTCGCAAAGAAAGAAGAGAGTTGAGAACTGATATGGAGGGAGGATCTCACTAAATACAGTGTATATCTTCCAAAGAAATCAAAGTATCATTTATCTAGCCTTTCTCCCTTCATTCCCAAGAGAGCACTGTTGCTTTGTGATATTTATTGGAATGCCTATATGAATAGGAACAGACTACAGTTAGACTTAACCCAAATGGAGAGTGAGCCCTCTACTGGATACACTAAGGTATTGCATGAGAGAGTAGGTTTCTTTTCACTAGAACAAAAACATACCTCACGAATCAGCTGAAATACCTAACAAGCTTAACAGTTGCCTAGAAAGGTAGACTAGTAAATGCCCAATTCTACATTTCTTGTACCGATTAGCAATTTATAACGATAAGTTGGGATCTTCATCTTTATGATTATTCTCAATCATAGGCTGGAAATTTAGCCAGGTGCCCAATGCCTCCAAGCTCAAAGTAAGACAAAAAAGAAAGAACTTACCTTGAGTGAAATCCACTTGACACTTATATTTCAACCTACATTAAGCTAAAGAAGCAGGCCTGAATGCTGTTATGACAGCATCCCTTTCACCCGGTAGGTTCTTTAAGCTTCCCAGCTGCTGAGACACTGAATCCTCAGTTCAGGAAACTGCTATTTATAGTGAATGCAGTCATTTTCGTTTTCGTTTCTTCCGAACACAAACGGATCGTATAGGGAATGGCGCAGCATCCGGTAGCTTACTTGTTTATTAATGGATTCTGGCCTATTTTACTTAATATCACTGTTGAAAAATCCTTTGACTATTCATCGTGATTTATCATCATCCCTCTGATAAAACGCGGAGCCTTCCATTGTTAGCAAGAATAAATGTACAGGTAATGTGCACGACTACTTCCGTTCCACTGTGGAATTTTGAGTGCACTATTTATGGTGGATAGATGCATACACTCAATAGGGCGAACACGCTATAGAGAGTGACACAGCCCATTTCCTGCATAATGGCTGCTCACGATTGTTTGAATATCTGCAAGACCTAATGCATGGATGTATGATAATTAAGATTAGAGTATAGTGTACGATTTGAAGGCTTTACTCATCACGTGTAGGCGCCTCCTCTTCGTCACCTCCCATACTCCTTACGTCATGCGTCCGTCTGAGCAGGAAGGTTAGCTAATGCTGATTGGTCTGTTCAGCCAATGTAAACATGTAGGTTAGCCGTTTCATCCTTATTGCTGTTAATTAAGCGCTGTTTCTTTTGTGGCAGTAGCCGGAATAATGATGACTGAGTTACTGAAAATAATGGTTTGGCAGTGTATTGTTAGCTTGACAACTAGCTAACACGGAACAGCTAACCGTCGGGTCGTGTTTGTATGAGCCTAGCTTTGCTAATTAGACAGCTAGCTTCCAGTTGACAGCCACAGAGAGCTAAATCGAGGTTAGCCAAACAAAGGAGGATGACAAGTAATGTTATCTAACAAGGAAACGTCAAGAAGTTGAGAAAAAAATGGAGGAATCAATACGTGTTGGTGCCTCATCACCGGTGAATGGAAGACAAGGTAACAGTGTCATGTCGCTAAGTTAGGTCTTCACTCTTGGCTATCACACACAGCATCTTGTGGATATTTCAGTAGCTTAAAGCCAATTTTAAGATTTTTTTTTATGTGAATAACATTACAGCTAGTGTCTAACAGAGATAGATAACCATATTCCCCTAACGTCCGCAAACTTATTTGCTTCATGTAAAATAACTGCTGCAATATTTAGGTCAACACATAGAGGATAGTAGCTTAATTAAACACGGTGTTTGTGTCTCAGACTGGGACACCAAACGGAGGAGGAAAATTGCGGACATCACCCAGGCACTGAGCGTGACTCCAGTGGATGTGGCAGCTCTGAGGAGAATGGCTATCAGTGAAGGAGGACTGCTGACTGATGAGATCCGCTGTCAGGTCTGGCCTCGGCTTCTCAACGTCCCCCTTCATGTACTGGATGAGGAGCCAGGTACCCTAACTACACATGCATATGCAGGCAGAGTAATATAGGCCACTTACTGTATTATCTATATGTTATTTATTGCACATTACCTTCCTATACCTTTCCTCTATGTGCATGACAAATTTTCACACACAGTCACAGCAGGTGCAGGTTTCCCCCATGTATTAGATTTCGGTAATGCTGATGGTGATATGTCTTTTCCAGAAAAAGTGGAGCGGGAGAATAACAAGGACTACAGTCAAGTCCTGCTGGATGTTCAGCGCTCACTGCGGAGGTTTCCTCCTGGTCAGTAGACCCTACACCTGTGTACAGGACTGTTTCATGAACCCCTGCTGTGTGTACAACACACACAGCCAGCAGTGGTGCACCAGTCCTGGTCACCAAATCTATAGATCTAGAGAAATGAATTTGTTCAACTTAATGTATTACTGCTTTAAATTTGGAATTTAAATTATTTTTTCTACACCATCATCAAACAGTCATCTCACTGAAGTTTATGGAGATAAAATACTATCAAAAATGTTACAAATGCGTGTTTAACGTTTTGTCTGTAACAAGCGATTTGTGTGTGTGTGTCATGCTGTTCACAAATGCATGCTGTACAAACTGCACATAAAACACATTTTACAAATGCTTAAAATCGATTTTTTTGTGTGCAGTTCTTTAGAAAGTACGTACACATTGTTACCTACGCATGCGTGGATCATCTAACGCACACGAATCACCTTCCGCGCACACACGGATTTTTGAGTGTTTTTCCGCACATATTCCGGGATGAATATGTGCGGAAATATACCCTACTGGAAAAACTATAAACTCTGCAGGGCGGAACATTAACTTTAGCCTCATAACTTCTAAATTCTAAATATATAAAAATTTAGAACATGCACCACAAACTGCAGGCAACTGGAATGTTCTCTGTTAAAACGTGTTATGTATTAGATATTTTTGTTTATTTTATGTAATGTCCATTTGGAATAGCGTTGTGTAAATACTTTTGTTTGGGAAACAGGTTTGGAAACTCAGATGCCCGAGTTTTCCACGTGTCCTTAAACGCACCGTGCATTCGTGGATCGTGGACTTTTGAGAGTGCGGAAAAACACTCAAAAATCCGTGTGTGCACGGAAGGTGATTCGTGTGTGTTAGACGATCCACGCATGCGTAGGTAACAATGTGTACGTACTTTCTAAAGAACTGCACACAAAAAAATCGATTTTAAGCATTTGTAAAATGTGTTTTATGTGCAGTTTGTACAGCATGCATTTGTGAACAGCATGAGACACACACACACAAATCGCTTGTTACAGACAAAACGTTAAACACGCATTTGTAACATTTTTGATAGTATTTTATCTCCATAGAAGTTTGATCTGTGCCAAGTTCTGTCAGTCATCAGGTGAAGGGTGAAAACAGTTATTCCTTTCTACAATTACAGGGTCACTGGTGAGGTGGCATACCCAAAGTTTTACTAAGCCAATAAGTATATGAATTTCATTTTCACTGTACAGGTATGCCAGATGAGCAGAGGGAGGGTCTCCAAGAAGAGCTAATTGACATCATCCTCCAAGTTCTGAAACGTAATCCCCAGCTGCACTACTACCAAGGATACCATGACATTGTTGTCACCTTCTTATTAGTCCTGGGAGAGCGCCTTGCAACTGCTCTTGTAGAAAAGCTCTCCACGCATCACCTCAGGTACGTACTAACGTGTGTGTGTATATATAGGATCATTAGCAGCTCATTTGTTCTACTCTATACTCTTTTTTTTTTTATTATTATTCTGTTACCTATTATCTGTTGCCTTTAAATATCATTTTTCTCTCTTCCTTTCTTCTGCACTTCCTTCAGCAGTGATCTGTTATGCACTGTAAAATGTGCTGCTTTACTTTCTTTCTCAGGGACTTCATGGATCCCACCATGGACAACACAAAACATATTCTGAACTATCTGATGCCCATCATTGAGAGGGTCAACCCTGAGGTGCATGACTTCATGCAACAGTAAGACCTTCTGCTATATTAGTGACAACAAGCCAAATCAGATTATTTTCTGTCTCCCCTGAGAAGTTGCCCAGTAGATATAAACCCTTTCAAAATGTAGTATGAACATGCAGTAAATTTGCCAAGTGACACAGTTATAACTAAGGCTTAGTGCTGATAATATTAGGGAGGAAAGGCTTCATACCCAGCTGAGAGTTCCGTATGATTATGACAGTTAAAGTATAACCATTGGTATCTGCTCTATAGACACTCTCACCAGTGTCTGTTGCCCTAATTTGGGCATTTTGGACATTTTATGCCACATAATACCAACATTTATTTTCAGTTTGATTGCTTTACATGGGATAAAAGATGCATCTATTACTAGGTTTTAACATCAAACAAAACAGGCACAGGAGTGTATTTTCAGCAAAGAAAGCCTCAGCATTGACTGAAATATTATGAACATTTTTTAAATGAGTCCTTATGTGTTTTATGTGCTATATATTGTACCTGCAGTGGAGCATCAGAAAACATCACAGGTGTGTGTGCTGAGGATCTCTGTCATGTTTTTGATTCTTAGGGCTGAGGTGGGCACGGTCTTTGCTCTCAGTTGGCTGATCACCTGGTTTGGGCATGTGCTGTCAGACTTCCGCCATGTTGTCCGGTTGTATGACTTCTTCTTGGCCTGCCACCCTTTGATGCCCATTTACTTTGCTGCTGTGGTGAGTTACCTAAAATCTGCACTTCTGCTTAGAAATACAGCATTTATTCTTTGAGGAGGTATCCTTTCATTTGAGGCTTTGCATATCTTCAGTCAGATGCTCGTGTAACAACGTAAGGATATAATGTACAATATGCCCGTTGAAAGGGGCTGTGTAACGACTAATGCTTGCTTGTTAGAATGATGCCATAACATGTACTGCATTTAGAATGGTGATGGTTGAGTGTTTATATACAACACAAGTCGAGAAAGGAGTCCCTTTAGTGTCTGGCATACCAGGGAGAGGGTGGTGCAGGATCTGCTGACTGTTACACTGCAGGAGATTGACAGCCAGGCTTACTGCCGCATACTGCAGGGTTCTTGATCAAAAGGGATTCTCATCTAGGTGGGGTTCAGAGCAGGACTGGGCAAATGTCTTGTGTGTGTTTGGATTCCCCAGTAATTCATAGTACTAAGTTCAAAGTTTAGAATCAGAATGTTGTTTCGACGTTGATCCAGTCAAAGAAAGAAAAGAGTCTTTTTTGTCCCAGAGGCTCAAAGTCTGAGATTAACAGACTGTGAGGTGGTCCTTTCCTGAGAAAGGAAAACCCATCTCCACCTCTGAGAAGAGCCAGAGGGGTTCACTACCTTAGCATTCCATTGAGATTCCAATTCCAAATTCTTCATCTGCTTTAACCGCATGTGCGCTACAGTAGGCGTGCCATTCTTAATCCTTGCCTCTTTGACATTTTACTATGTTGGCTCTTGCAATGACAAATGCACCTGTGCATTATTTGTACTTCTGTTGCAGATTGTACTGTACAGGGAAGAGGAGGTGTTGGAGTGTGAATGTGATATGGCGATGGTTCATCACCTGCTGTCACAAATTCCCCAGGATCTGCCGTATGAGACACTCATCAGCCGAGCAGGAGACCTGTTTGTCCAGTTTCCTCCTTCTGAACTGGCTAAAGAGGCTGCCTCATATGAAAGGTATTTAACTTCCTCAGTTTACCACCCTACCTTTACCGAACAGTACTTGATTCAGTGCTTTAGTTCTTGCTTTTATTTCTCTACTTCAACATGGACAGACTTGTTTTAAAAAGTATTACTCATGTTTTAGTTTCTTCCACTTCTCAACAAGCTCTAGCCACTCGGTGTTCTTTAATTAACCCTTTCATTTTCTGCCTTTCTTGGTGTCTCTATCCCTTTATCTTCTAAGCATGGCGACCTCTACCTTTAAGGACTTTGACCTCGCGTCCACTCAACAGCAACCAGACTCTGTTCTCCGTCGTCGACCCAGACAAAAACAGTCTGCTCTGGAGAGCTCCCCGGCAAGCTCAGTAGTAGCAGTAGCACAGCCTTCAGCAGCACGGCGGTTTGTTCGACTGGCTGTCATGGGTCTGACAGTGGCTTTAGGGGCAGCAGCTTTCACGTTGATGAACACTGCCCTGGAGTGGGCCCCCAAACTGGACCTGTTTCCTTGAACTGCTCCTCCTTTACCCCTTCAATGCAACTCATCCATTCTTGACTGAAGTTAGCTGGTGGGTCTGATTCTAAGAGCCCTTTAATTAATTAACCCACAAGCCCTGCAGCCAGTAACACTGTCTGGGGTGTACTGTCTAAACTGAAGTAATTAACACTCTTCTTTTAATTTTCAGGATGTGTCTAAACATCCTGCTGTATGGAGGGTTTCTAAGGGCCCAGCTGGGGCCCAGCTGCTCCTGAAGAGCATGCACCAGTATAACAGCTACACTTGCTGGTGTTGTGAAATGTAGAATCCATCCTGTTGTCATGAAGAGACTGTATTTCTAAGACCTATTATTGACAGTGTCATTATTAAAGTCTATTTATATTTGGTATTGCAATAATCTAATACTGAGTTATGCTCGCAGAGATTTATGCTGAAAGCTCGGTGGATTCACTACACTTGAAACTGCTGCCAATTAAGAGATCTTGCGTATGTGTGTGTGTGTGTGTGTGTGTGTGTGTGTGGTGACGACAAACTCTTTGCTATCTGTTTGATACCTGGACTAAGACCAAATAGACAACTGTTAGAATCCTGTCTTTGTTTACGATTTCTTAATATAAACTGGTAGGTATGTAAAGTAGCCATATAGAGACATGATCATGTTAAACAAGCACTTTTTAAGGCCACCATTATGTTTAGGAAAATTTGTCCCTTAAGTTTTAACAGGTGTCTTTTAGTCAGAATAAGATGTTTTGTTTTTTTTTCTGGGACCAAATATCTTTCACCTCTTAAAAGATGAGGATTAGACTCCAAAATAGATTATAGCTTCTGCAGTCCAGGAAGTCAAAAAAAAAAAAAATAAAATCAATCTTATCAAAAGTGGTTTACTAGAGCTTTCAGTCATGTAATTGTTGCACAACCTTAAAAATGTGTGTTTCATGGCCTCATATGATTAGGGTATGTTTTCTGGAGTAGATGATTTACGAAGTTCAGCAACTCATTCACTTGGAGTCTGGTAAGGGCAAAGAGTGGTGGGGGCCGAGTTTGCACTGACCACATTAGTTTAACAAAAGCACATACTTGACACTTTGCTCACTCCTGCTGTAAGGGCGCCCAGAAAAAGTGCACAAGCCTTCAAATTAATGCTTTCCAACATTGTTTTAAACGTGACTTTAAATGCATGCTGTTAGTCATTTTTTTGTATTGCTTTAGGTGTAGAATGGCAGCGTTTGCTGCAGAGGCAGTCCAGCTCGTTCCACTGTTTCATTGCCATTCAACCACATTTGAACAGGCAGCTGCATTGGTTTCAGTGGTGTGACACTCACCTTAATACCCAAGTTGAAATGCAGAAAATACACAGCAAACCGTTTGTCAGAATACTTTATTCCACGATGGTAAAGTTACATTGCTTAAATCTTTATGATGGCTTTTTATAGATATCGTTAGACTTAGTAACTCAGTTCTAGGTCATTTACATTGGACTGCACAAGAAAACCAGTCAACTAAAAACACCTTGTAAAAGTCACTGAAGGTGAGGTAAGTTGTTTTTACCACTGTGAATGAGGAACTGAACACTTGGACATCCCATTTCTCTATTATGGTCCATTAATTTGCCTTTACAGTGAACCTCTGAGTCAACTGTTAAGAGATGTACAGTACTGACTGATAAAAAGGAAGGTGACCTCAGTGATGGTCTGAGGAGCCTGAGAGAGGAGTTGGTTTTCAATTATTGTTGTTGCACTAAACAATTTATCTACCTTTTATGTTTATGTTGTTATAATCAAAGTGTCATACTAATGTAGACTTGTTCAAGAGAGTACTAATAAAGTACAGTTAAAATGTTCATTGGATTTATTTGGACACAGTTACACATCATTCTGCACAATATATTTAACAACAGCATGTACATGTTGTGGCAGCCAAGTACTGACAGAAATAACTGCCTGATATAGTACTTCCACAAACAATTTTGTTTACCTTGTTAGAATAATTAAAACTTAATTTACTCATCCCTCATTTTACATTAAGGAATATTTTGACACATCTACAGAAAGATTTTTCAGATCAGGAAGATCCACCTTAATCTTTCATATTTCTTTAGTTTCACATGTAGTTGATACAATAAGTTATTCAATTTGACATTTCCTCAAGACAATATCTGGCTACTTTGGGGCATCTCATGGCTT